CAGGGTACTTTGCAGCAAGTGAGGTCTTATCTGAGAACCACCATCCCTTTTCCCAGTGAACTGGCTGGGGAGTATCTCCTGGCCAGCTGGTCTTGCTGCCTGGAGCTGCTGATTCCCTTCCTGCCCTTCCTCCTGCCTGGCCACAGCCAGAGCAGGTCACAGCTTTTCCTGTCCTGCTGCACCATGAGGCTCTGGAAACCCACAGCTGCCAAGCTTTGCTGTAGAAGAAATGAAAAGCAACAAGGGGAAGGATGAAGATGCTGAAAGGCATCTGGTTTTGCTGCATGAAGGGACAGGTCAGATTTGGGGGAACAGCCCTTCCTCTGCCAATGTTGTGGCATCCCCCCGGTCCTACGGGTTGCATGACCTTTTGCCAGCTTTTTGTATTCATGCTGTAAGAACATTTAATGCTCATAGACTCTGGGTGCTGAGCAGCTCATGTGCAGACTATTATCTCCCTTTCAACTAGAAGCTGAGCGTTGCTGCTCTGCAAACCAGCACACCAGCTGAGTGAACACAACATAATGCCCATGAATTATTGCAGGTAACACCCATGTCCTCCCCAGTGGTGTGTGGCAGGGTCATCTGCTCTTCACTAATCTGTTCTACCTGGGAAATCTCTTTCAGTGTCTATTTTTGTCTAGTATTTTCACTTTAAATCCATTGCAGTGGTGACACATTGGATATTTGACCATAATTCAGTATATAAAACCAGCCGTAAGCAGGAACATTGCTTTCTGCATGGCCTTGAGTGCTCAAGTAAAACTCACCTGACCTGAATGCTTGTTTCTCCAACAACACAAGCTCCAGGTCTTTTGGCTGAGACTTTCTGGGCATTTTGCAGCCCTGGTTCACTGGAGAGCAGCTTTAGTTGTGTAATCCCACAAATGCCTGTGACAGCCAGATTTTGGCAGTGGTGGGATGAGTGTGCTCCAGCGTGCCCACGAGCATCCCTGTGCTCCCACAGTCCTGATTGGAATGCCATGGAGCTCATCAGAGCATCCTCTTGCTGCAGTGGGAGGCCAGAGGCATCACACCCTGGCTCTGGCTCGTTAGTTCCCCGTGGCATTACAGATTTGTTCCTTGCAGTAAATTTTCTAATGCTCTTATCGTTCTGGGTATAAAGGTCTTGAAAAAATCTTCTCTTATGAGTGATATTGCATCACCTGATCATTCTCACCATTATAAGTTTCTCAAACTGAGATTTTATTTACATTACAAAGCAGGGGGAGCTGCAGTCCCTACCCTAGAAAACTGTCAGTCTAATAATTTTAATTTTGAAGGTCCTATGAAATCCAGCTCCCACAGTCTCCTTCCAGCTACTGCTGTTCTAAACATCCCTGACAGAAAATCTTGCCCTCAGTTTCAGAAGCAACCAGCAAGGCTCAGGCATCTTTAACTCACACAGTGGCCCCCAGCTGGGGATTTCTGCTGTGTCCTCACCTTGTCACTGTTGTCACACCCAGCATGGCAGTGTCCTGCTTCCTCCAGCACTGCCTGATGAGCAGGAGATGGACCTAAGCAATACAAGCATGTGCCTGCATTTTTCTGCCCTGATGTGGGTGATATTGATTGGTCCGTTCGTGTAAATGCCTTGGCTGTTGTGTGTTGCTTTCCTTGCTTATTAATCAAAATCATGCAAAATGAAGGGAAAGCAATTTTTTGGGAAAAAAATGAAATAGCATCAACAGTGACTGATTAGAGCCTGCTGGAATGTGATAGGACAGTCTGCCACTCACCAGGCATGAGGATCCCTACAATAACTGGGGAAAAAAAAATTAAATGCTTTATTTTGGCAATTTTGGTCAATGTTTAGATGTTTTCTGTTCAAGCAGTGCCTTGATGGAAGATTTTCTTAAATCTATTTGTTTGGTTAAAAAAGTAAAAACCATCCCAGTGTTTTGTTTGCATATGACATATTTCACTTAGTTGCAAATGTTTTTTTTGGATGTGTGCGGTTTTGTTTTGCTTTAAAAAAAAATGAAAGGAAACAACTTTATTTTTGTGGTCACCTTGAAGATATTTTCGCTACTGCCATTTAGGGAGACCACTCTGTAGCCAGCAGTGGATGCAAAAACACTGAGACATAAACAAAACATCCAGGATATGAATATTCCCACTGAACCAATTCACAGGTTGGAAATGTAGCTGGTGCTTAAGTGCCTTGGTGGATTGAGGCTTTAGCAGTAACAAATAGTACTAAGGAGTAAAAATCATCAATTAAAGATCTCCTAATGAATCAAAATATCAACCACTCAGCTGAAAGGCAGATTAGAGAAGGTGTGAAATCTCCCTGCTCAGTGTTTCTGACTGCCTGGTAACCACAGCTCTGTGCTGCTTATATTTCTTGGTAAAACTGAAAAGAAGGGAAATGTGTGGGGCACTGCTGCTGATCCTGTTTGTTTCTGTTATACAAACAGCGGGGAGAGTCCAGATATTTCTTTTCCATACACAGAATTAAAAACAAACTAACAAACAAACCAAAAATGGATGACTGGAATTACTCTCCTTTAAATTGTTATTACCTCAAACCCTGGGAATATTCATTGGTTTTGTGATACAGTTGATGGATTCTGCTATGCAGCCTGGCAGTGTGTGAGAACATAATGCATGTAGTAAAGGTGACTAACCCCTGACAACATCCCCACCGATGCCAAGTGGCCCATATGCTGCCATAAATACCTTTTATTCTTTTTTTTTTTTTCACACTGATCATAAGAGCCCATTTTGGGTAGAAGATCACATTAGGCTCATTCATTACCTGCTGTGCTGCTCTGTGCATCTGCAGCATCTCAGTACTGAGCTTTGGGCTCATCCCTGCGTGTTTTCTGATATTCCAAATAATCTGTCGTGGGTGTACACAGATCTTCTCCTTTGTGTGTCCTGGAGCATTCTGCACCAGAGACAAAAATTATGCTAAAAGGTGGCTAAACTTCTAGGGAATATGGTTGTTGATAGCTGATGTTAGGTTTTATATATATAATCAAGAGAAATTCCTGCAGATTGATACTTGTAGCAAAACTATCATTTCTTGTAGCAGAAGAGAAGGAAACTGGCTGGCAGATGAACTGACTCTATTCTTATGAATAAATTTAAAATCTAATGAGAACAACAGGTGTGAGACAGTAGTGAAATTTTACAGTATCCTGCAAACTTTAATCTACACTTTTATTTTTCTTGAAGGTCTGTCCAAAAGCAAAATTTCAGGCCTAGGGCTACTGAAGACCATCTTTAAAGTTGCTTTGTGATTTTGAGCAATACATCATAGGAGCAGTGATGTTCAGATGATACATTGCACTAATACATCACAGGAGCACTTTCGCTCTTATGATATATTAGTATAATACACTATCAGAACACTATCACTGATGTATTACTCAAAAACACAGTTTCTGACCCTCCACATTCACCCTCATCTCCAGTCTGAATACACTGAAAGCTGTGGATAATGATAAGAATAAGAAATCACATATTCGGTTTCTCTAGGGTAAAGCTGAGGGGAAAAAATAGTGTGCTATTTGGAATATTTCATTAACTGAAACATCCTTGTGTTTTCATTTTATTCACTGAGCAAATGTTATTATGAATAGAAGCTAACACAATATAGGTGTGTTTGAATTTTCTTACAAATAGCCTAAGCAAACCTTTTTTGATTTCATATTTCATTATAGACTTAAGCCATGTTTTGAGAATGCTTCCATGAGGGGCAGGAGTTTCAGCTGATTTCTACCTCATCAAATTGAATCAGGTGCAAGCTATCTAAATTCTATGCAAACCACTTGGTGCTGTTTCTGATGCAGTCAATTTTTTAAAGGATTTAGGCACCATCTAAAAAGATCTGAAGATGTATAAATGTGATCTATCACTCAGATTATTTGCTGCCTCTCCTCACTTAGGTGTTGGAGTTTTTTGCCCTGAAGAATTATTCTCAGTTGTTGTTTTTCTTTACTCAAGAGTGAAAGACAAAGGGAAAAAGAGAAAAGAATGCATTGCAATGTTGTTAGTAGCTGAACTTACTGCAGAAATGTATTTTTCCCAGTAGAGTTTGGGTCTTGAGGACCTTACATTATCCTCCCTTTATGGTATGAACAGAGTGTCAGAAAAAAGAAAAAAATAGGTAATAGTAATAACACAACAGTAAGGTGACAAGTCTCATATTTGTGTTCTTTTGTTTGTTTGCCCCAGATCTCATCAGCACTTTTGACAAAAACACATCATTATTTCACCTCCTTCCCAAACTGGGTAACCTAAATCTGCCTGTGCAGCTCAGTCCTCACCTCTGCTACCCCATGGACAATGGCCCTGTGCCAGGAGAGGGACACACTTCAGGCTCTGCCAAACTGAGCTCATAATCCTTGTGCCTCACAGGTTTGGGGCCACCTGGCACTCTGTCCCTGTAGGTGTGTGCCCAGTATGAGTCTTGTACTTCGGTTTCGTTTTTTTGTATTTGGGCTACAGCCTCCAGGGAGGAAAGGAAGCATTAAAGCCTTTTTAACCTTGTGAGAGGCATTGTCCTCTTCTGCCAGCCCTTCTGCCCCTGTGCTGTCATGGTGTGGCAGCAGCTCCTGTGTCGCCAGACAGGGAGCCCTGAGCCCTTCTGCCCACACGAGCTCTGCACTGCAGCCCATCTCCAGCACCTTCTTATTCCCATCTATTCCAAAGCCACAGCACTCAGCTCCAAGGGACATTGTTATTTCAAAGCTGTGGCTAAATATGTCTCTGACTGACAACTATGAATAATTCCACAGAGCCCCTAAACTTCCAGGCATTTCACTCTGAAGCTCATATAATACACCAGGGCTGCTCTCTCATGTTTTTCATCTTTTATATTCTCCAAAGAGTTGAGATACAGTTATGGAACAGGTTAATGTATTTTCCTCTGAATATAATGCTGTGGGAGCCTGTGCACGGTTACTTGTGTGTGTTGAGAATAATGCTGACAGTTCAGAAAAGAGAGTCATGAACTTGATAATCACCATTATTTTGTTTCACATTTTCAGCATGTTCATGTCCATGTGCTGCCAAGGAGGGCTGGAGACTTCAGCAGGAATGATGATGTCTACGAGGAGGTAAGAGTTACACTCCATTTCTTCTTCAGAGTTGGTTTTGCTGTTATTAAATTGCTTTAATGGCCCAGGCCCTCCCATGGGACCATGCATTTTTATTGCTTGCAAAGATCCTGTGACAGCACCAAGATCTATATTGGGATTTCCTTGTGAGCTCCCTCTCTGAGGAAGGATACAGTTGACACTTTTGGTACTTCAGTCTGTCACTGCACACAGGGTCCATCTCTACAAATAATTGTGTTCTCTTATTTTGAGGGCACAGAGGAAAAGGGTGACCACACGGTCAGCATGGCATGCAGGGAGGGTTTCCTATGCCAGCTGCTTGCCTGGGGTACCAAACCTTCCCCTTCCAACCAGAGAAAACACAGGCAGCTTGTTACAGCTCAATCACAAATTGCCTTCTGGCCTGATTTTTGTAGGGCTCTGCTCCGTTCTGGACAAATCAAATTGTAACCCCAGAAATGGAAATTAAAGAGCAACTCTGCATATAGATGGAATATCTGCATGTGTGCAGATTGTGCAGCAGAGCTCGGCTCATGAGCTGTTCCAGTGTGACTGAATCACTGGCTTTTGTTTAAATGAACAATTGTACTGGCATTAACAAAAAGTTTTCCCCAGTTTGACATCTGTCATAATGATTCTATGAAAAAAATCTCACTATTGTTAAATTTACGGCTTGTTCTTTGTGGATTTGGTAGGATCCTCTATCTGAAATATGACATCTCCTTCTCTTTCTGAAAGTAATTAATATAAACTTGCTCACTGCTACTGCAACACCATCTGCGTGAAAAAGACATCATGACATTTTCTGCTTTTGTATTTTTTTCCTTTGTGATATCTACATGATGACAAGTCCCCACTCACAAAAAAAAAAAAAAAAAAGGTGGAGTGTTTTAAAGATTTTCAATTACTTAAATATGCAAAAATGAAGAAGAAAGCATATTACTGACAAATTATATGAAGTGTAGTGCCTGAAAACTCCACTAGTAAGGATAAAACCTTAATGAGATTGCTGAGCGAGGAGATCCAATGGAAGTAAATGATGGCAATCTTTGCTGGTGTGGTGGTTAAAAGCAGTTTGAGAATGAGACAAAAGTTAACACCAAAAGGGTTGTCAGGCACTGGGAGAGGCTGTTCAGGGATGTGGTGAAGTCGCCATCCCTGGAGGTATTTAAAAGATGTGCAGATGGGGCTCTCAGGGGTGTGGGTTGCTGATGGACTTGGCAGTGCTGGGTTGATGGTTGGATTCAGTGATCTTACAGGTGTTTCCACCTAAATCATTGTATGGTTCTATAACCTTTTCCTTTTCACACATGTTAAGGGGTTTCAGATGCTGCATCAACCCATCAAATCTCTTTCCATTTCTGTCATATTTACAATTCCATTTGCTTCTTCTTTAACACGATTATTTCTCCCTTGTTATAGCTAAACAGAAAACGACAAAACTCTAATGAACTAGGCTATATATTTAGTGTTGTTAGATGCAAAAGGGTGGCAAATTGGTGAAGAATTTCTTTTTTATTTTGTCATTTCCAATTACAGCAATTGTAGGTGTTGCTTTTATCAAACAGGAAGCACAAATATTTAGACATAGATGTGATAATGTATCTTTTAGCAGAAGAATGTACAGCCTCAGAGTCTAACTAGCTATTCTTGAGCACCACAGAGCTAACACACTTTTGTAGAGACTGTAGCTGAAGAAAGATTTGGGTTTTTTTTAGGATGCCAGGGAAATAAAAACACATTTGCAGCTATAAAAAGTTTGGTGCTGAGTTCTATCACTGTCTAGATTGAGGATGGAGTGACTTAAGAAATTTGCTATCACAGGTGAATAAAGCTATTTTGAAAAATGAAAAAGGGACAAATTATTGAAAATACAGCTGACTTTCAAAATAATTTGGAGCTTATGTCAGTACAGCAAAAACGTTTTGATGTAATGCATCTCCGTGTAATGTCAGCAAGTCATCTCCTTTTGATAAGAAGATACTTTGAAAAATTTAGGAAGATATGTAGATCATGGTGGGGCAACAGGCTGGAAATCAACAAGGGTTAAAGTACCATTAGGTGAGATGTGGGTGCTAGAGAGAGCTTTAAATCTATTTTTCCATGAAATTTGTACTTTAAAAATCCAAAACCTGTTCGTAAAAGACACTTCATTTTCATGTATTTGAGTGATAGATGGAGTTGTAGTTTAGGCAGCAGAGACCCCCTTCCAAAAACATCCCAATGGCCTTTTCCTTGTAAAATGTGACATGGAGGCTGATCAGCCTCCCTCAAACAGTCTGTGCAATTGTAAAGCACACCGAGGAGAAATTGTGCATATTGCAGTGCCTGGTTTAGCTACCACAGCTAAACAGCTGAAGGTTTAACAGCAATTGGGAGCAATTTCCACAGGCTCCAGGTCTCAGCTGTGGCTCAACATGCCTTTTGCAAGCCCCTTCCTATCTGTAAGTGCCTTTGAGCTCTCCAAGCTCTGCAGTTGTCATCTGTATATGCTCAGCAGATTGCTGATAAATCCCACTGCTCTTAGTGTCTGACAGTGAAAGGAATGCCCAGATGCTGAGACACCACTCCTCTTAGGAGACTTCTAGAACTGAGACAGCCAGGAAGTGCTTGCAGCCTCTCACTGTGTGCTTAATTTCTCCCATTCAGCTTTGGAGTGACCACTCATCTGATGAGAAAGGCAGAAGAAAGCATATCAGGTTGTTCCCTGCTTAGTCTGTTTACTGGGCTCTGAGATCTTCAGGCTTTTGGCCCTGAAGCTCTGACACAGCCCTGTCTAAAGCAGTTTTTTATGTAAAGAGTATAATTAAAGGTGTTTCTTAGCACTTGTATTCTAATCAGCTATCTGAAGAACACAAATATCTGCTGATATCTTGATATATTTTTGAAACTATGGTAGTGGAAAATTAATTGTAGATGGAATAAAACAGGGCTTGACACTTATTTCAGAGCATCTCCAAGGCATTCCTTGGTAGAATGTGTCACTTAATATTTTAGGGTTTTTTACCTCAGTGCATATGAAAGAAGTCACTGTGTGATTTTTCCAAGATACAAAGAGAATCACTAATAGCAAAAAAACCATCTGCATTTAATATTTTATTTGTATTTCCTCTGCATCTTTGCAGGGCTGTTTCTTGGAAGGGTATTTCCTGGGAAGTGTTAGTTATCCACTCTCTGGGCTCGCTGTAGTGGAAAGCTAAAGCTATAGTTTATCAGTTCTTACATTTCTCTGCAATTATTTGAAGCCTAATCCTGCAAGTGTGTGCCTGCCAAAGTTAAATTTGTCTTACAGGATATTTTTATAGGATCAGGCCCTTCATCTTTTACTATTGCTAGATTGCTTTTCTCATCTTCATCTTGAGTAGTTCTTATTCATTGATTCTTTATTTCTTGGACAGCAGAACAATAGCAGCTAAATATTAGGAAAACCTTCCATTAGAATAACTCTTTATACCTCAGTATTTTCTTTTTGGTTTGAAAGAGATTATATTCCACATTAATTAATCAAGGAACTTAAAAGCCTCTTATGAAGTAGTTGCTTGCTTCGAAGTAGACGAGTTCCTTGCTAGTACAAGGGCATGTCCCAGTGAGTGATAAGAATTTGGTATGAAAGAACATCTTTACTGTAGAACAGCCCCCAGTGTTGCAGTCAGCACAAGTACTGCAGTTGTTGGAGGTCATTTTTCCATGACATTCAAGAACATTATCCTGAAAAGTCTTGGCACTTCCAGGCATCTGTGGGCAGCCCTCATTCAGTGGGTGTTTGAAAAGTCCATAGCACAGCCTGTCCCTGGTCTCCACTGAGTGGTTAGCCATTGCTGCAATATAAATAACATTCATCATCCTTTAGGCTGGCAGGTAATAGCTGTCCTGGGCCAGAGACAATGGGCATCTCTCAGAAAGGAAGACTCAATCAAAACTCTGCTCTCCTGTTATGAGTGCTGACCTCAATAAGTTAATTTTGAGGCTGACAGACTCAGATGGGCAAGGGCAGCTTGGCCCCTCAGTGAAACCCTGAGCATCCCTGGCATGCTGAGGTGAGTTTTGTGGTGTGCACCCCTGTTCCTCCCCAGATTCTGTTTCAGCTGATGCCTGCAGCCTCCTGTAGCAGATGCAGCTGCCACAGCAATGCACAAACTGGGCTGTGCATGCAGGGCAAGCCCCTCTCCAGCCTTGCTCTCGTGCCCTCCTCATCTCACTGCCTGTCTGCAGTTCCCAGCCTAGACTGGAGAGCACAAAGGGGGAAAATGTGAAAGAGGGAGGTTAACCCAATCCCCTGTGTCTCCATCCTCCTCTGCCTGCCAGACCTGCATCATGGATCTCTTCTAATGAAGCTGAGTGAAACTTCCTACTGTGAGTTCTTCAGTAATTTATGAATTTTGCAAAAAGCCAGCAAAAGGATTTGCTTCATGCTATCCTCCTTCCCCTCTGGCATTCAGGCAGGCAGTGAGAGACTCACTAAGGAAAAGATACTTTGACTTAGTGATCTCATTCAGCACGTTGTGCTAAATCATTTCAGCAAGAATACCTATTAGTAATCATTTCCAGTTCCAGGAAGGATGAAGGAGGCATTTTGGCATATGAGTCAAGAACCTGCTGGTCTGTTTCTTCAGGCTGGCAAAACAGGAGAACCGTGGTGAATTCAGAAGTTTAGTCAAACAAGCCTGAAGTTTAATTCTCCCTGAATGGCTTTGACTGTGACATGCCATCACTCCGAGCTGCAGACAGCATCCTGCCTGCTGCTGGGCACTGAGCCTGGCACAGGCTGCAAACCTGCACAGCTGCACTGAGCTGCTTAAAGGCCTTAAAGGCAAGGTATGAAGTAAAAAGATAAATAAGCCCTCATCCAGGTCCTGCGAGACAAAATGGAAAGATGCCCAACAGCTCCTGTGAGCATCAGATTGAACTATTCATGAAAATTAATGGCATGCAGAGCTAATAGGCTGTTCCTTGGCCTCAGAATGATATTGTACCTTCTGGGAACATATTGTAGCCTGCTG